GCACTGTCTGTGCCCATCACTACCAGTCCTGTTTTAGCATGGCAACTACTGGATTATTTTATTATGTGTGCAGATGGCATGATGTTTTAGAAAAAAAAATACAGCAGTTCTGCAGTCTCGGTGGAAGTGTTCACAATATTATGCCCTGATAGGAATGTAAACGTGTCTTGGTTATGTTAGTTATGATGTCCAAAGGTATTTTGTCCAACTCTGAAGCACTTTATAAAAGAACACTRCGCTGAGATGAATTAGCACGTTTGGTCCATGTAGGAATACAAGTATTTTGTTTTTTCTCTTATAAATCTTGTCTTATTTCTGGCAAAAAAAGAAAATTGAAGGGCAAGTTAGAGTAGTCTGTTTGCCAGCATGAACTTTGGAGTTTCATGATTTTTCTGCTGTGGCTTTCTAAGCCTGATTGCATGCAGAGAGAAGAAGAAGATTAGGGTTTTATTAGATAGGTAAGAAAGACAACATCAGTGAAGAGAGTTGAGGATATTGGTAAGATAATGGTTAAATGCTGAGCACAGAATGTAAGCTATATAGAGAATGAAGAGAATCTAAATGGGAACTGATGACTGATAAAATGAGCTGGTAGGTGTGTTTATGGAGTAAAGGTCCTGATGAGGTTTAATACTCAATTACTTGGGAATAATTTAGTGAAAAATCTTGGTCAGAGCATATAATCAGAGACTTGAATGTTTGAATTTTTAAAGTTAACCTGTTATTGATGAGAAGACTATGTTAGTCAGTTTTCCATTACTATTAACAAATTTCTGAGATAATCAACTTATGAAGAGAAAAAGTTTGTTTGTGCTCACAGTTTTAGAGGTTCCAGTCCATGATTGTTGGCCCCATTGCTTTGGGCCTGTGATGAGGTAGCATATCAAGGCAAGAGAATATGGAAGAGAAAATCTCCTCACCTCATGGCAAGGAAGAAAAGGAAGAGGCAAAATAGAAAAGGAAGAGGAAGAGATAGGTATTCCACAGTCCCCTTCAAAAATACTCCAAATGACCCCAGGACTTCCCATTAGGGCCCACCTATTAAAAGTTCCACCCCCTTCCCATAGCACCACCTTGAGTCAAGCCTTTAACATGTGGGCTTTTGGAGGACACTCAAGATTCAAACTAAAGCAGTTACTGAAGGGTGGCTGAGGTGGAGTGGAGAACTAAGGACTAAGAAGATGGAATGTTGAATAGGTTGTCCATAAGGACATCCAAGTGGCCAGGTTGATACAGGATTTGAGACAGAGAGGAAGACTATGAACTTAGTGCCAAAGCTTTAAATTAATAAGAGACAGGTGGATTGTTTTTATAATAATGACCAAAAGTTAATCAGTGCTGAATGGTGTAAACCTCAAAGAAGCCAGGTTTTGTGCCTGAGGGTGGAGGTTGAGATTGACAGTGAATAGTTTTCTTTCTGCGGGTACTCAATGCTTCATTCCTCTCAGCAATCACATTCCAATTCCTGGTATCACCTCTCTTGAGGGAAGGGCATAAATTAGATCAAGGAAGGACTGTGTAGTGTTTCCTGTGTAGGCAGCTTCTGATTCAGGCTTGTGCTAGGCCAGGTTTTTTTTTTTTTTAAAGAGAGAGAGATTTTAAATTTTTTTTAATATTTATTTTTTAGTTTTCTGGGAACACAACATCTTTCTTTGTATGTGGTGCTGAGGATCGAACCCAGGCCACATGCATGCCAGGCAAGCGTGCTACCGCTTGAGCCACATCCCCAGCCCTAGGCCAGGTTTAAAATAGGTACTGCAGTTTTTTGTAGTTAGATGACTGGGTTAATAGAATCACCAAGTATCTGGTGTTATGTGTGGCCAGTCAGATCCCAGTGATCTTGCACTGGCTCCTTCCTGTACAGTTTCAGCCTGAGCCTGAAGTGACTTTTGACCAGAGGGTGAGTCACATGGGCTGGTTATAATTCCTAGAGCAGAGCCTGGTGGAAAGAGGCATAGAGGAGATGAAATCTGAGTTCTAGGTTCAGCTAGTCCTCTTGAACTCCTCCTGTCTGCTGAGGCCTTTGTCTGAGGGATAAGTGAATGAGAACAAAGGATAAAGTTTACCCGTTAATTGGCAAAGTTCAAGATACCTGTTTCTATGATTTATTTATTTGCTTTAAGTTAAGTTATGACTCTCAGTCATCTTACATTTCAGTTTTAGTATATTCATTGATAAGATAAGAAAAGGGAAGAATTTTGATTTTTTTAAAAACAGATATCTTGGGCTGGGGATGTGGCTCAAGCGGTAGCTCGCTCGCCTGGCACGAGTGCGGCCCGGGTTCAATCCTCAGCACCGCATACCAACAAAGATGTTGTGTCCGCCGAGAACTAAAAAATAAATCTTAAAAAAATTCATTCTCTCTCTCTCTCTCTCTCTCTCTCTCTCTCTCTCTCTCTCTCTCTCTCCCCCCCCAACTCTCTTTAAAAAAATAATAATAAAAAAATAAAAACAGATATCTGTTTGCACAGATCAACAATGGAAAAAACACCAAACTGTTTTATTCTTATTTTGCCATTAAATTGTATGGTATTTGACAAGGTACTTCTCAACCTATAAGCTTCTGCATTGTGTCTTGCATGTATTGAGGTGATTGTCTTTTTGTGATGGGCATCTTTTTAAGTATATAAAAGAAAGCATATTACTGTTTTTAAAATGAACATAAATGGAAAGATCAAAACAAGACCTTTATCTTTACATAGGCATGGGTGAATTAGGTATTGAAGATTAATAAAGGTTAATGTATCACAGATGACTACATAGGTAACTTCATTTTCTAAATATACAACCTATAAATACTTTGTAGAGCACATTTTTTTAAAAAAAATTTTAGTTGTTGATTGACCTTTATTTTATTCATTTATTTATATGTGGTGCTGAGAATCAAACTAAGTGTCTCACCTGTATGAGACAAGTGCTCTACCACTGAGCCACAATCCCAGCCCTGTAGAGCACATTTTTTAATAATAAAAAGCTTTTCTCACTATATGATTAGTACATGAAAATTATTATATCATAAAAAATAAAATAAAGGTCACCAAAAGTCCCACTGTCCTGAAATAGTCACTATTATCATTTTGTTGATCTCCCTTTGTGTGTGTGTGTGTGTGTTTGTATGTGTGTGTGTGTTTGTGATTTCATAGAAATGGAATTATAGCATACTTTTTTTTTAATTTTGGAAACTTGTGTACCTTCCTCCCTTTTAGTGCCTCATTTCTGTTCCCAGATAGCTCAACTTAGTTTAAATTTCTCCATGTTCTTTCTGTTCTCATTCTATTTATATATCTACACATATATAAATAGAGGGTTTTTCTGTTCTTGTCTGATATACAATACATACTTTTGTAGAACTGTGTTAAATAAAAATTCTGAGTCATGATTGAGGAATGTCTGTGTATCATCTTATAGAGTACATTAGAGCATGCAAGACCTGAAGAGCCCAGCTGGGATGAAGATTTTGCAGATGTATATCATGATCTAATACATTCTCCTGCTTCTGAAACTCTTCTAAATCTGGAACATAATTACTTTGTTAGTATCTCAGAACTGATTGGTGAAAGAGATGTGGAGCTGAAAAAATTAAGAGAAAGGTATTTCACATTTCTTGGATTATCATAATTGAATATTATAATGTCATATATGATGACCTACAGAACAACTTGTTTTCATATTTTATAAAATTAAAGGATAAAGTAGAAAAATGCTTTAATATTAGAAATCAATTTTCTTGTATATTTAAATGTGTAATTTCAACTGGGACTGTCCTTATAGACTTAGAGAACTTCTCAAGTGATTTACGTAAATAAATTGTGCTGGCATTACATATTCTTATTTGTAACAAGAGGAATAGATTGAAGGCTTGCTAGTGAAGGCTTGCTTTGCTCTGAGTACTATGCCCTGTCTTTACCTTTATCTTTACCTCAACCCTACTGTTAAAGATGAGAAAATTTTTGGCTTAAATAAAGTAAGTAACTTGTCCAAGGACAGGATAGAATTTTAAACCAAGGAATCTTTAACTCCAAAGCTAGTAATCACTGTACCTTGTACCCTAGTCAGAACTTTCTCTTCATTGCCCTGATCTAAGTACATGGTCTTTTAGTTCATTTCATAAACTTATTTACATTAAGAAGAAAAAAATAACACTCATGTTATTCAAAGAAATTTTAGTCAGATTTGAATCTATTCTATAGGGATACTTAATACAGTATGAAATGTTGCCTTTATGGACCACTGTTTCTTCAGAGTGAGTATAAAGCTGCTAGTATTATTGATTTTAAATCATGGCTTTCCAGACTGCCTCCTCATAATTCTATATATTGTGATATGAGTCAGGACACACTCCTCCTAGATAATAATTTTTAATTTAGCAGACTAATAGCATTACCTTAAAATATTTATTTCAGACATTAGATAAATTTTTAATGTTACTGAGGTAAAATGTCTTTGGTTGTGAAAGCATGTTAGGACAAAAATCACATTTATTTTTTGTGATTGATATAATAATTAATCCTGAAGAAGTAAATTTAAAATGATGTGTTGATTTGCTTCTGTTTCCCATTAGCTTCCCACTAAAAAGCATTAAAATGAGTAGTAGAATAATCTTTTATTTTGAAGGTTATCATAAGTAAGAACATTTGAAATGCAAAAAACATATTAGACAAATGGATTTAGTATTGATCACAGGGGATACTCTCTTCTGGATTCCAGATTGGCATTTTTATTTTCTTGCATAGATTTGTAAGTTTTTATGGCAATTCTGTTTCTGTGAACTGTTTATTTTCCTATACCATAAAATATTAGAATGATCTCTTTTTTGAGAACAACATGATATTTTGAGATATTTGTACTCCTTTATGGGTTTCAGTTTGTTGACTAGCTAGGTTAAGGCAGTTTATTCCTTTCTAGATGGTATAGCTGCAGTATAGGTAGTTGCTGTCAGGTTGAAGCTTTGTCCCTGGGGAAGACAAAAATTTATTTTTTTCTAGTTTCTTATTATGTAGCCAATAAAATTTGTGAATATATTTTTTGGTAGTGGGTATTAAATCCAGGAGTGATTTACCACTGAGCTACATCCACAGATTTTTTTATTTTTTATCTTGAGACAAGGTTTAGCTAAGTTGCTTAGGGCCTCTCACAGTTGCTAAAGTTACCCTTAAACTTTATCCTCCTGCCTCAGTCTCCCAAGTCCCTGGGATTATAGGTATGTGCCACTGTACCCATCTAGAACTAAATTTTTGAACATATAAAAATTATCAAATACCAATCACCTTTTATTGACGTTCATGTGACATTCACGTTTGAATTTTTCTACTAAGGCCTTCAAACAATATAACCTTCAGTTCATTTTGAAATGGTTCTTAGATCTCAGGTTTTCTGAGAACACTCATTCCACATATTTTAGTTGGCCCTCTGTGTCTATGGTTTCAGCCAACTGTTGATCAAAAATATTCAGAGGAAAAAATTGCACCCATACTGAACATGTACAGACTTTTGTATTTTGTCATGATTCTATAAACAATTGAGTATGACAACTGTTTGCATAGCCTTTACTTTATAGTAGGTACAAGTTTTCTAGAGATAATTTAAAGTGTACTGGAGGATGTGCATAGCTTATGTACAAATACTACACCATTTTATATATAAGGGTCTTGAACATTTTGGTATCTGGAACTAATCTCCCCTGGACCTCAGGGGATAACTGTATATTGGCAAACTCCTGTCTTGGCTACCTATTACTAGTACTTTCTTTCAGCTGGTGAATTACCCTAAATTGTAACACACTTTGCTGCCTACTCACTACACGTCCCAGAAAACTCTGTATCTGGCCATCCATAGTCTATAATTATTCTTAATCAAAATCAGAAGACTATTCCTATCCCACATGGCTCTTCACATTTTGGGAAGCTGAATTAACCTACTAATTATTTGCCTTTATCAAAACTTTATACTTTTTCTATAATGGAAATTTTTTTAAGCAGGAATTTGTTTTATTTTATTGTTTGACATGTCCTTGAAGAGATTTTTTGGTGGGGCTTTGCCTTTTACTTTTATTTTAAACATATAAATAATATTTGGATGCATCTATTTTATTTTATTTTTTTATTTATTTTTATTTTTATTATGTCTTACATACATGACAATAGTGGAATGCATTACATTCATAATTTTTTGCATTACAATTCTTAATACACCTTTATACTACAATTTAATAATAACTTTTTAACAAGAAGTGTCTTATGTTACTATCACTTTGTGCGTTTCCTACATATAAGTCTAGATTTGTTCTTGCTTTCTCCTGTCCTCCCTGTATAATCTCTGTCTGGTACCCAGGATCCTTGGGATTTTGCATAATATGATAGAAAATTTTAGCCCTTAGAGAAGTCATTTAGAAGCTATGGATGATGATCACCATGTGATTAATGGCTTAAGAGATCATAAATTCCACATAATATATCAGAATATGAATCTAGGCTTTCAAACTCTATCTTCCGTGCAACTCCCCTTCTCCCTCTTTTTCCCTCCCACCTCTCTTTCCTATTTAGTGGTAGTCTTCTTCTCATGCTCTTCCTCCATATTCCATTTTGGGATGCATCTATTTTAAAAGCAGTTTTGTAGTTTATTTTTCATATGTCTAAACTGTTAGCTTGACAAAGAAAAATAAGTTGTCTTCTGCTAGAACAGTAATATTTATTGCAAAGGTGAACAGTATGACTTAAGGCAAATTGAAGTTCATTATGGAGGCTATGGAGACTCACCCAGAATTTTGGTACTTAAGTCATTTATTATCCTGTTCATGAGCAGAAGTGACATGTTTTCTTATTTTTCCTTTCATTTTAATGCACTTTCAATATTTAAAATATCTTTTCTCAGTATAACCTCACTATAATTTTAAGGAGCTTTTTTTCTTAAATGCCTTTCAAATAATGTGCAGGTTTCGGAGTAGTCACATCTGATATACTAAACCAATCTATATTTAGTATTTCATCTGAAATACAATAAAATTTCCTTTGGTCTTTCTCATAGAATATAGATATATATTTGTATCATTTACTACATTATTAGCTACTTGAATTTTGAACACATTTAGGATGAAATAAATATTTAGACATTTTATTTGTTGAATAATTCTTAACTTTTTTTCTTACAAGAAATTTGCTTTTTTTTTTTTCAGCAAACCAAATTCTAGATACTTCTTTCAACTTAAAAAAAAATAGTAATGATATATTTTATCCACTAGAGGGAACATGTGTAGTGGTAAAATATTAATGTAAACCTATCAGTTTGTGTTTATAAACCATTTAGCAGTTATTTCTGTTTTTAAATAAAAATCTCACTTGCAAGCATGATCTTTACCTGACCTATAATAATTATTAAAAACATAGTAGGGTCACCAATATTAAACCTAATGATCTATGATAATATTGAGTGACATTAAATTCTAGAAGGTATAGATAGAAATACATATTTTTACATAAATATATAATATGAATGAATTTAATTTATCACAGTTTATTTAAATTAAATCAGTTTACTTAAACCATTGATTAACTTTTCCTCTAAGAAAAATCAATCTTAATTTCTACATTCTTAAATTATTATTAGATAATTACATGCCTTTTTAAAGGTAATTTTGTGACTTAACAGTTTTACTCTTAGAACCTACTTGGCAGTTTCTGGATATAATATAGACAAACTTTCAGAACTTGAAGTCATTTTAGTTCATATACAAATAAAAAGAAAATCTATTTAAGCTGGAATTACAGACTATTTCTTTGAGGATTTCCAAGGATTCAGGGCACTTTCAGGTATTATAATTCCCATTCTTGGACATAATCCTATAAAATAAAAGTTTTATTTTCACTTTGTGAATCAGGAGTGGTCTTGAAATTTGATGAATATACTTACCTGATTTGCTAATTTATGTTTTAGACAAGGTATTGAAATGGAAAAAGTAATGCAGGAATTGGGAAAATCACTGACAGATCAGGATGTAAATTCACTGGCTGCTCAGCATTTTGAATCCCAGCAGGTGAGTGAAATATAAGAGCTTTTAGGTATGTAGTTGTGTTTTCCTTCCTTCCTTCCTTCCTTCCTTCCTTCCTTCCTTCCTTCCTGGGATTGAACCCAGAGGAGATTAACCATTTAATCACATTTCCAGCTCTCTTTTATATTTTATTTAGAGACAAGGTTTTGCTGAATTGCTTAGTGCCTCACTAAATTTCTTTTTTTTTAACATTTTATTTTTTTAAGAGTTGAATTATTAACACAGAAAGGCAATTTTCATATTCATGTCCTACTTTGTTAAGGTTTTTCCACAAATTCTTTTTCTTCTTTTTTTTATTTATATATGACAGTGGAATGCATTACAATTCATATTACACATATAGAGCACAATTTTTCATATCTCTGGTTGTGTACAAAGTATATTCACACCAATTCATGTCTTCATACATGTACTTTGGATAATAAGGATCATCACATTCCACCATCATTTCTAATCCCATTCTCCCTCCCTTCCCCTCCACCCCTTGCCCTATCTAGAGTTTGTCTATTCCTCCCATGCTCCTGCTCCCTATCTCACTATGGATCAGCCTCCTTATATCAAAGAAAACATTGGGCATTTGGTTTTTTGGGGATAGGCTGACTTCACTTCGCTAAATTTCTATAGCCAGCTTTGAATTCATGATCCTCCTGCCTTAGCTTCCCAAGCCACTAGGATTACAAGCATGCATCACTGTGCCCAGCTTACTTTTTATTTATTTATTTAGTCACTGTAGTATAGCAATTTTATTTTTTTTAATTTTTTATTTGTTCTTTTTAGTTATACATAAAAATAGAATGTATTTTGAAATATTATACATACATGGAGTATAACTTCCCATTCTTTTTTTTGCATTACAATTCTTATTACAAATATATACCACAATTTTTCATATCTCTGTTTGTATATAAAGTATATTAACACCCAATTCGTGTCTTCATACATGTACTTTGGATAATGATGTCCATCACATTCTACCATCCTTGCTAATCCCCTGCCCCCTATTTATTTTTTACATAAAAAAATTAACCAGTTGGCACATTTTCTCTTTTAGGACTTAGAAAATAAATGGTCAAATGAATTAAAACAATCAACGGCCATCCAAAAGCAAGAATATCAGGAATGGGTAATAAAACTTCATCAAGATCTAAAAAACCCCAACAACAGTTCACTCAGGTATTAGTCATGTGTTGTTCTTTTTTTTTTTTTAGAGAGAGAATTTTTTAATATTTATTTTTTAGTTATCGGCAGACACAATATCTTTGTCTATATGTGGTGCTGAGGATCGAACCCGAGCCACACTCATGCCAGGCGAGCATGCTACCGCTTGAGCCACATCCTCAGCCCCATGTGTTGTTCTTATTCATATAAAAGTCTATTGTTAGTAATAGTTTATATTTACTATAAAGTTGAGCCTTGTTACTTGTGTATATTTTAAGTTATTACATTCAAGATAATTTTATGCTATTATTCCCCACCTTTTATATAGACACTAAATATAGATTATTTTGGAGCCAGGTGAGTGGTAACTAATTGGTCTAAAATAGTGATTTCACCTCTAGAACTTTAGCTTTCTAAACCTTTTAGGTGTGTATACCTAAATACTACTATCTTTTATTTTTTTTAAATTGGTTTTGCTCAGTGCAATTAGCTTGCCTATGTTTCACTTATATTCCAAAAAGAGAGACTGACCTGTAAATTAAACAACACCATGTAGATTAAGATGTGCAGAAATAGAAGCACGTACAAGGTACAGAAATGTTAGGAGGGTTTTCATAATTTATATCTTATATGTCACATGTGGCCTAAATAAACTGTTTCACATATTGCCCTAGAACTTAACCATGCCTAAATTACTTACTAGTTGTATGTACGTCTATTCCTCCCATGCTCCTGCTCCCTATCCCACTATGGATCAGCCTCCTTATATCAAAGAAAACATTGGGCATTTCTTTATTCTTTGAAATCCTAAAGTACATTAAGCTAGAAATACATTAAGAAAATACAATAAACCTATTTACAGAACATGCTAGTATATGTTGTAAACATTTAAAAATAGCATTTTATTTATGTGATGTCAGTCTGCCACTAGTTTTGCTATTATGGTTTGGTAATGAGTGTCACCTGAAAGCTCCTGTTAATGCAGGAATATTCAGAAATAAAATGATTGGATTGTGAGATCTGAAACTAATTAGTCTGTCCTAATTTGAATGGACTATCTGGATGGAAATTCTAGGAATGTGGGGCATGGCTAGAAGAGGTATGTCATTGGGTGTGTGCCCTGGAAGGTTGCATCTTCCCTGTGGCCCCCTTCCTTCCCAGTCTGCTTCCTGACACTACTATGAGCTGAGCAGCTTTCCTTCAGTGTGCCTTTCCCCCATGATATGTTGCCTCACTTGGACCTAAAGCAATGGAGTTGACTGTGTTTGGACTCAGACCTCTGAAACCCTGAGCCCCAAACTAACTTCCTCCTGTAAGTTGTTCTTGTCAGGTACTTTGGTCACAGGAATTAACTAAAATACTTGGCTTGAAAGCAAGAATTATGTCTGTTTTGTTTGACTGTTTGTTAAACCACTATATACCAACTCCTTGCCAAGTATTTAGCTCTTGGCAGTAGCACATAGGACATGCTCAGTAAATATTTATGGAATGTATAAATTGACAGATGGATAGATTATCAATGAACTCTTTTCCCTGGTCCCTATATCACTTCTTACGTACTAAAACTATGTTATAATCTTTCATTTGCTTTATTGTTTTTCCCAAACTCTTGGTTGCAGTCTTCTAGGAACAATCCTAGATCCTCACTCTCCAACCAAACTTTTAAAAACAACAATTAAATAGACTAGAATAGAGTTGAGAAAGGAAAAAATGCCAGAGTGCATATGCATGAAACTTTATGTAAATGAATGTATATATTGAGCTAAAATATAAAACCTGTACAGTATATTATAGACAAAGAAGTTGAAAGCAACTGATTTAAGGAAGTCAAAAAAGCCCCTTGCTACAAGTTATCCCTTACTTAGCTACTGTAGTTTCTGAAATTCAATGCATAGGATCAATTTCATTGTGTATTGGCCTCTAACTGTTGCTTTTGCACCTTCATTGTCAACCCCTTTCCTCATCCCAGCCCGTCAACCTGTTTGATTTCTGCCCTTATGGGTTTTTTTTTTCCAGCATGTCATATAAATGGAATCAAACTGTATGTAGCCATTTTTACCTTGCTTCTTTCACTTGGCAAAGTATTTTTGGGATTCATTTATGTCGTTCTGGGTATTAGTAGTTCTTTCCTTTTTAAAATATATTTTTAGTTGTAGATAGACAAATACTTTTATTTTATTTTTATGTGGTGCTGAGGATCGAACCCAGTGCCTCACACATGCAAGGTGAGCATTCTACCTCTGAGCCACAACCCCAGGCCCAGTTCTTTACATTTTATTATCTTTTAGTCTTCTGTTCATTCATTTATCTATTTACTCTGTGGTAGACATTTAGGGCATAGGTTGGGGCAATTATAAAATAAAGCCACTAAAACCAGTCATGTAAAGGTCTTTGTATAGACATATGTTTTTATTTCCCTTACATAACTATCTAGGAGTGTGATTTATAGGTCATATGGTATTTGTTTATCTTCATAAACAACTGCCAGACTGTTATCCAAAGTGTTTGTGTGGTTGTGCATTCCTCCCACTAATGAATGAGAATTCTGGATACTCCACATATTTGTCAATACTTGGTATTACTATTCACCATTCTAGTAGTTGTATCTCATTATAATTTTACTTGCATATTCCTGATGGCTAATGTTGTTGAACATTTTTTCATGTGTTAATTTTCCATCTCCTTTGTGTTTTCTTATTGAGTTGTAAGAGTTCTTTAAATATTCTGGATACAAGTCTATCTTCAAACAGATATTTTATAAATATTCTCTCCTATTCTATGGCTTGTCTTTTTTTCATTTTCTTGATAGTGTTTTTCAAAGAGCACATTTTTTAAAAAAAGTTTTTTAAATTATTTATTTATTCATCTTTTTGCAGTGCTGAGGATCAAATCTAGAGCCTTTTGCATGCTAAGCAAGCACTCTGCTTCTGAGCCATTTCCTCAGCCAACGTTTTTCATTTTACAGTTAATCAGTGCAGTTTATCACTTTTATTTTAAATTAAACACTTTAGTTTTTCAGGGTAATACTAAGGTCACAACAAAATTAAGAGGAAGGCACAGAGATTTATCCCCAATCCACATATATGTATCTTTCTTCATGTCAGTATTCCCCAGAAGAGTGGTGTGCTTGTTGTAATTGAGAACCTATATTGACATATCATAATCAACCAAAGTTCATCATTTACATTTGTAAACAATGCACATTCCTGTTGTGTATTCAGTGCATTTCGACAAATGTATAGTGACCTTAAGCCACATGGCAGTATCAGAATCCTTTGTACTCTGCCAATTTATCAGTTTTTAAGTAGTTTGTCTTATCTAAGATATTTTTGCCTAATCCAAGATCACAAAGATTTTCTCCTATGTTTTCTTCTAGCATTTTTGTAGATTTAGGTTTTACATATAGGTCATGATACGTTATTTCATTATATATATTATATACATGTATGACATATATCCACCAGTATATATGTATCTGTATGTATGTATATTGGTGTATAGTTTTTTATTATTCTTTTTTTTTCAAAGAGAGAGGGAGAGAGAGAGAGAGAGAGAGAGAGAGAGAGAGATAATTTTAATATTTATTTTTTAGTTCTCGTCGGACACAACATCTCTGTTTGTATGTGGTGCTGAGGATCGAACCCGGGCCGCACGCATGTCAGGCGAACACGCTACCGCTTGAGCCACATCCCCAGCCCTATAGTTTTTTATTATTCTAATATCTTCATTTGATGTTGTTTTCAGGGTAATGATGGAATTATAAAATGAGTTATCTGTGATAATCAAATATGTTGTTTCAAGTATTTTTATGTTTTCTCTTTTTGCTAAAATACTCTGTCTGTCCTTATATTTCATCTACTTCTTCCACTAGATCTTTTAACATATTAATCATAGGTATTTGCAAATCTCTTTCTTTTCAACTCAATATCTGTGTTATCTCTAAATTTGTTTCTGTTGATTGCTTTATTTCTTGACAGGGAGTTTCTTTTTCCCCCTTGCTTTTCAGGGGGTTTGTATGTGGTGCTGAGGATCCAACCCGGGCCTCATGCATGACAGGCGAGCGCGCTACCGCTTGAGCCACATCCCCAGCCCCTTCCTCCTCTTCTTAACTCTCTCTTCCTTTTCCTTTTTTTCTGAATGTTAGATATGTGGGTAAGACCAAGGCAAATAGTATTATATTTAGAAATGAACAGGCCATGAATATGAAGGTTGTACAGATCTTATTTATCAGCAGTTGAACAGATTTTGGTTTTTGTTGTGTCTCAGTACCTTCAATACCCAAAGGGCTTTTTTTCTTACAGTAATAGTCTAAAGCTATTTTAAGCTTGGATTGGAAATTGGGGTTCTAGAAGATTTTTTCTGTGATTCTTATCCATCCTCAGTCTGCATGCCTGTGCCACAGAATGGAGTCCTTCTCTGTACCATTGCTCTTCCTCTCAGCAATGTATTGTTTTTGCTTGTTACTTGGCACTGGGCTCATAATTCGGGGACAGGGCCAGTCACTTTGTCCATTTGTTTTCCAATTCTGTTATCTTTGTCCAGTTCTAGTCTTGAAGAAATTATATATATCTCAGCCGTGGATATGGGATGTTCTAATGACTTCTGACTCTACACCCAGGAGTGTTCTCTTGTCTCCTGCTGCAAGTCTTTTTGTGGAAGCACTTGGTGGATAAATTTTTGCAAGTACATAAGCCTGTGGCTCCTAACTATTACAAATCAACATTCTTGGCTTTTAAGAAGCTATAAAATTTTATTGATTTCTGTTTACTTCCTTGTATGGCAGCAACCTATTCCAACCATGTCCTGACAAAGATGAAACTGTATCCCATCTCTCCTTGGAGGGGCATGTCACATTTTGGAATTAAGTTTTCTTGGATATGTTGTTACTTCCAATCTCTGATAAGCTTCATAAATTATCTGACTTTTTGTTGATATTACAGTGGGGATAATATTTTCTTATGACTTTCTACCTTCTAAGATGGGAATATTTATTAATATAAATTTATTTCTTAGTTTTTACTGTATTTATTAATGAAATCAGTCAGTAAGATTAATGAGGCAGTTTGGATTAACCCCAAATTTTAGTCGGTAGAGCAGATGACTCATGTATACATTTATCCTTGAAATTTGAATTGAATAGTTATACAAGTTTAACTTCTTTTTGGAAACCTTTTCAGGAAATATAAAGAACACAGCAGACTAAAGAGAGCATTTTGTGGGAATAAAATGTTGGAAGTTAAAAAAGACAGGAAATGATTAAAAAATAGAGGATGCAGATACATTAAAATAAGCTTCATCATTTTTATTACTTATCTGTGTTATAATTTTTATTGCCATCACAATGTTTCTTTGCCCCTCCCAACACCTTTTTTTTCAGCAATACTGAATATTAAACCCAGGGCACTACCACTGAGCTACATCCCCAGCCCTTTGTATTTTATTTTGATACAGGATCTCCCTAAGTTTCCCAGGCTGACCTCAAACCTGTGATCCTCCTGCCTCAGTCTCCCAAAGTAACTGGGGTTACAGGTGTACACCACTGTACCCAACTTTCACCTGTTTTCTAATTTTGCCTACAGTTAACCTTGGTATAAGTTATATCATGGATTTTAAAATAGGCATAATGTGATTTGAACGTTAATAAGCTAATCACTTAAGAAATTTTAAGTGGTAATATGTTCATTGATATTTTAATGATTGATAAGAATTATCTAAATTACTTACTGTGAGGAAATGAAAGAACAAATGGAAATTTTAGAACCAGATTGTGCTTAGAGTCTTACTTGTCATCATTGGTTAAAGATGGTTGAGAAATAATTAAGCACTACTTTCAGCAGTTCACTTTTCTCTCATAAAGTTCAAGAAAAGTTTTTGACAAATACCTAAAGAAAGAAAATCAATAATTTTATTAATTTCAGTGAGGAAATTAAAGTTCAGCCAAATCAATTCAGAGAATCTGTGGAAGCAGTTGGAAGGATTTATGAGGAACAGAGAAAGTTAGAAGAAAGTTTTACTATTCACTTAGGTAAGTATTTTAAATTCGTTGCAGTTATTATTTACTGATACTTCTGAAATTTTACTTATACTCTAAAAGAAAAATCCTTAATGTACCTATGTTATCTTCAATTCCAAATCACATCCTGCTCCAAGAAAGCCTGTAGTTTGTTGGCTGTAGGATTTTTGTTTTAGTCTAGACATTATTTTTTCAGATAGATTAAATTACAGTAGTTATTAAAATGAGAAGTTGCAAAGCCCATTTTTAATCATTATTGTAGCAAAGACTTATTTTTGCCATAGAGATTTGCATCCTGTTATACTAGATTTCTGTAGTTATTTAAGTTTCTTTCTGAGATTGTTGCCTACCCCCAGGAGCCCAGTTGAAGACCATGCATAATTTGAGATTGCTGAGAGCAGACATGCTGGACTTCTGTAAGCATAAAAGAAACCATCGAAGTGGTGTGAAACTCCATCGGCTCCAAACAGCACTGTCACTTTATTCTACATCTCTCTGTGGTCTGGTTTTACTAGTAGATAATCGAATTAATTCATATAGTGGTATTAAGAGAGGTAAGTTGACATTATTCATATTTATTTCATTAAATACAATTCTTATAAAGAAAGGAATTTTGGAAAAACTGTATCTTTTTAATAATCACTCCCAACAATCAAATAGACCAAACAATAAACATAGCTAGTCATAACTATTTTAGATTAGTTTCATACCTAGCACTTGTAGAATGCCTCCTGACATTTATTCTTTCTTACAGTTCTATTACACTGTATATGATACTCTTTTAGGATTCTTATTTCAGGGTAAAACAAGAATAATAATCAAGGTACAAATGTATTTTTCAATTTAGAAGCAGATATTTAGGGAATTTAGTTCATCCATTTCTTTCTTTTTTTAATATTCTACCTCTCAAATGTACTATGTGAAATTCTTCCTAGTAGTATATCTCAATTCTATAATTATTTCTAAACTTTTGAATATATAAAATATATGGAATTTTACAGTTGTTTTTGGAAGAGGCTTGAACAGAATTTATTGCTCATAAATGGAAGAACCTGCTTATATTTTTGTAGCATTTTGGAGTAGATTGTGATCAACATATCTGTTATTTAAAGAAGACTTGCAATTATATTAAAATTTCTTTATCTACTAATTGTTTACTCTTTTGAGTGAGAGGTTAAGTTTCTGATTAAAACAAAGTTGCTATACCATAACTTTATGGTTATCATAAGAAATTATAAAAAATCATACTCAGCAATTTCATTTTCTATTTTTCTTAGATCTAATTGTCTATAAGTAAATATTAAATTTTTAATAGTTCACATTTAGAAGTTTGTCAATTTTGGGGGTCCTTTAGATTTTGCCACAGTTTGCCAAGAGTGCACTGACTTCCATTTTCCCCGAATTGAAGAGCAACTGGAAGTTGTCCAGCAGGTGGCACTTTATGCTAGAACACAGCGCAGGAGCAAGTTGAAAGAAGCACATGGTCAGTAGAACTCAAATCTTTAGAACTCACTTCGTGTGTGTGTGTGTGTGTGTGTGTGTGTGTGTGTATGTGTGTGTCTTCATACATGTACTTTGGATAGTAATGATCACAGTGTGCTTTGTCCCTAGTCACTGTAATGGCACAGAGGTTATCAGTAAAATCATATAGAAAATGATATTGGTAGAAGTTGGAGGAAGAAAATTAAGAACAAATTTAAGATCTTCAAAAGTTTGAATTCTGTTCTTAGTTTTCTCTTTTTAAAAAATGATTTTCTTTAGTGAAAACCATTTTTAAATTTCAGTACTATGGTTATACTTAAAGGAAAAACTCTTTAAGTTACAAAGCAGTTTAGCTGATCTTTGATTGAAATATTAAAATTTAAAAAGTAGTTTCTTTACAAATTGGTGCCATAAGTTTGTTTTGTTAGGAGCTGAATATTAACATAATAATCATTTCAAAATACTTGTAAGGTGTATTTATCTTATTTCTCTGACATTTCATATGATATCACACACATAAAATTATAACACATACTCTATTCTGACTACTGCGTGCACAACATTGTATTATCTCTTATAAAAATTTATTATTGGTGCTCAGGAAATAAAATATGGTAAGTTTTAAAGTTGGGGTTGCTCAAACCTTTAAATCTCCTGCTGACACTTTGGTTACTTTTTTTGTCCCTCAAGTGTTTAAAAGAAACCCTTACAATACTTTAAGTACATACATTTTGCATTTTTGTAGTAAGCAGAGGGGTATATTATACCTTTGCTTGGTGTCTTTGTTTCTTTCCTATAAATGTAGAATTCCTTCTTTTCTCCTAAAGCTAGACTAGCTAGATCTAGTCTTAACTTGATCTGCATTCACTATAGTTTCCTTATCGATTCAATATACTTACGCAATGTTTTAGTCATTTTTTAAATAGATAAACATTCACAAGATTCACATTTCAAACTGTGCGAGAGAGCAAGCAGTGAAAGTCTTCCTAACTCTGTCCCCCTGCCATCGAGTTTCCCTCTCCAGAAGCAGCCAGGGCTAGCTTATTTGTAACATACAGACTTAATGTTTATGTATATATAAGCACATGTATGTGTGCTTTATATAATTTATATGATTTCCTCTTTTACACAAATGGTAGCTTTATATATACACTATTCTGTTATTTGCTTTTTGTATTAAATAATTTTGGAGCTCATTCATATTAGTCCGTAAAGATTATTCTTATATCTTTTTGCTATTTCATAGTATTCCATTGCAGGATATCCTATTATTAACCAGTCTCTTATTGGTAGACATTTCATTTATTCCTACTTTTTAAATTGTAAGTAGTAATGCACAAATAACTGTGCATATGAATCATTATGATGTGTATAAGCAGTAAGCACATCTATAGAATAGATACCTAAAGAAAAATTTTTGAGTTAAAGTGCACATATAATCATAATTTTTACAGCATTGGCAATCCCCATAGCAACTCTATCAGTTTATATTCCCACTAATGGTAACTGCAGCTTTGCTGTAGCAATATGTGTTTTATGTGTCAAAGCCAGGCTAAATATCAGGAAGTCAGTATAGAAGTGTATCCTAAAACAGGACCTTTCAGAAAATGTCCTCTGGTTCTTCTATCATCTTCTTCCTTCGTCTCATTCAAATCAGAAATGATGTGATCGGAAACATTTTAATATTATTCTTAGTAAAACTAAAAACATTAAGATTGAGATCATAATAAGTATGGGAAAAGGAGGAAGATTCTAAGTATGAGAGATAGAAAATATGCAGTAAATGACAGGAAGTTTTTAAACCACCTATGGTTAAGGCAGTGCATGTATATCATGGTATTATTTTGTTCTTGTTCAAGCAACTACTTTGTGGTTTAAGTGAGTCAGTGAAGCAAGTAGGTTTATAAAAGACAACTTTCTTAAAGGAACCTGCATGTTATAGAAGAGCTTTGTGAAAATACTTCCTCTGACTCTTCTGACCATGCCTACCTATATCCTGTGGTGGAATGCAATAGACATCATTATCCAAAGAACATGTATGAAGACACGAATTGGTGTCAACATACTTTATATACAATCAGAGATATGAAAAATTATGCTGTATACATGTAATAAGAATTGTAATGCATTCCGCTGTCATTTATTTTTTTTAAAACTCAATTAAAAAAAAGCATCGAAAAAAAAAGTTTACATCCTGATAACACAAATGTTTGTTTATTCTAAGGCATTCCATTGTTTTTCTTACTGTGGTTATTATATATTATCATCCTTATAATTCTACAGTCCATGATAGGTAAAAATTCTTTTATGTACATTTTATATGCATTTTAAAAAATAAAAATAGCCATCTTCTCAGTATTACTAAACAAAGTATTACCCATTAAAACAGGAAAAGGGGATTGGAGTATGAAGTGTTCTCATATTTACCTAATAGGAGTTTTGTTGGTATCAGGCTTTCAAAAAACCCACTAAATGTCTGAAAAAAAGAAGTTCTGTTTGAAATAGAGTCTCACATATTTCTTTGAAGTTAATTGTGTGTAGTGTCAAATAAAAATAAATTTCAGGAATGGGCTGAGTAAAAGTGATTCCTGGTGCTACAAGCCATTTATTTGTAGTCCTGAACAAGTTATACCAACAACAGTGACTCATGTTCTAAAAATACAGATGGCCACTCCACAGCTATCTAATGAAGTTATTTTATGTGTAGTTAACCTAGTGCCTTGAACCTTCCAGATGAAAAATAAACTATTGGAAAGTCTGATGTGGTTAAGACTATAGGATTTAGGATATGAGCATGGGGGGCGGTTAAGATCCAATTTTACCTCTTATCTATGTATATTTGATTAAGGTACTTAACTTAATCTAAGCCTATTTCCTCAGGTATAGAATAAAGATTGATCCGGGAGTTCAATACAATGGTAGATGCTTAGCACTCACAAGACTCTGAGTTCAATCCTCAGCACCAAAAGGAAAGAAATGAAAATAGTAATCTTACCACCATCTTAGGGTTTCTGATTATAAGGATTTTGTAAGAATTAAATGAGGCCATCCATGTAAAACTTGTAATAGAATGCCTGGCACATAGAGATGCTTAGTAAATTTTTGTTGTTATTGTGCTTGTGAAAATAGTGGTGGAAAACATGTTTCATATGTTATTATGTTCTTTCATGTTGCATCATCTTATGAATAGATTCTGGAAACCAAAATGGAGGAAGTGATGATAAGAATAAAAATACTGAGAGAAATTATTTAAATATTTTACCTGGTAAGTATAATTTTGTGTTAAATTACTATTTTCTTATAATCATATACATGAAAATTATAGATCTGAAGAATAAATTCTCATGGTATACATTATAAAGCATTTTCCAGCATATCACTTTAAAATATTATTTTATCTATATTACATACTTTCTCAGATGTTCTCCAATGTAAATCTTTTTTATACTAGTAATGACTTTTAGATTTGTACAAGAAAAATTGTTCAAGAAGTTCCATAATTTTATTATTATTTGCTATTTTAAATTTATATGTTGTGTCTTTGTTTCTCAAGAAATAAACCAATGATTATTTTTGCTGTTAAGTATTAAGTAATAATACATAGAAATAGAAATATAAATAATTGAGCTAGTAGAGAGAACATGGATCATCTGTAGAATCTTATTTCCGTTTCCCCTTACCTTTTCCTGCTTTTCACTTCTTTTGTTTCCTTTGTTATTCTTGAATTTTTTTTTTTTAACAACAATAATTCAGTCTCTCCCCCTCTTTCTAATTGAGTTCACTCTGATATGCTTAATAGCATTTTTAAGACAGGGTGTAATAAAGAAGTCCTATTTGTGTACTATAAGCAAAAAGTCTTTTAAACTAAGTGATAAATTTTACAGTTTCAGAAATAGCCATCTCATGATAGTATTCTATTCTTCTTTAAGGTAGTATTACATTTCCTTCCCCCAGATCTTTGATATGTGGGTCACATTACATTTATTTTAAGGAAATATACCCATTTTGTGTACTCATCTTGTCAGGTCCAGTCAGTTTGTGGTTATCAGCCTCTGAGTTTCCTTCCACTTTCAGATATCCTACCTGTGTAGATAATGTTAGAATCACCATATTCTGCTTCTTCCACTTCGTGGAACAGGAAATCAGTCTTCTCTCCAGGTGAAAAAAACTTCAGTGAAGATTTATCATATTCCTTTTCATAGATAATAATTTAAATCATTCATATTCTCTGGTTTTCTTAAAATATTATCAATTTTATTACTAGTTCAGAGGCATCATTATCTCTAGCTTTTTAAACTCAATTCTTTATTGGTGTATTATTTCTTTCCTTATTCCTTTTTTCAAAAAAGCTTAAAGATTAGTATAATTATTATTGCCAAATTAAGAGGATATACCATAAGTCTGATTTAGAAAAGGATAACTCAGATTTATGGTATATCCTCTGAATTACTATTAATTTATATATATATATGTAAAAAATATCCTACTAAATTATTGAGTTAGATGTCCTAATAGCACTGGAGCACTGGAGTTTCCATTGAGGTAAAGGATGCCTATACAACCAAGATATTTTCAGATGGAAAAAAAAAAAAAAAGAGCTAAATCACAAGTCATTTAAGATTTTTAAATTGTGAGGGAAAGCAGTTGTATTTATATATTTGTAAGTCAGTAGTAACTTACTTACTTTATCATGATATAAGTCTTTATATTTTAAATTATTAATTCTCACAACAACCTTGTAAGGAAAGCAGCAAGGCATTACTTTTCATATTTCATATACAGGATTTAAGATAATCAATAAATTGAATTGATTTTCCCAAGATCACTCACCCAAAAAGTCCTTAAAAACAAATCTCCTTAACATCCAATCTAGTGTTTTTTCCCCTATATCATATTCATTTGGTTAGTACTGCCAGCTTTAGGACTGGCCCCCATTTTATTAATGGGTAAAATGAGACCAAGAGGGAAGTCATTTAAGGTCGAATAAAGCAGTGCCAGATTGGGGATTAGGAGCACCTGACTTGTCCACTAAGTCATCCTACCTCACTGCTGGACTACAGCCCATATTTAATGCTGTGACTTCCATCGTCTGAATTCATAGTAAGAGTTAAGGAGGTTACACACTTCATTGGGCCCAGAACAATATTGTCTCATTAGTCCACCAGATTTCTGATAAGCAGACCGTGTCTTTCAGTGCCTTTCTGGGAAATCATAACTACTTTATTCCTCACCAATTTCCTTTTTACTTTCTCTTTGTCCATTTTATTTGGGTGTCTCAAAAACTCCCTTCTTTAATTTCTTTTTTCTTGTTCTAATATCTTGTTCAAGTTAAAAGAAAAAGACCTTTGCCTGAAGACTATGAAAGATATCTATGAGTACAACTTATATATGCTAGTAACTAGTAATATTGAACATAATGCCAAAGTATATTAAGTACTTTTAAATATAAATATACTATATCTTTAAAAGTAAAACCCTTGGATAATTACTTTAATACAAGCACAAGTGAAATTTGTGAGGTCAAGGGTTAATGTAAAAGGATAGACATGATCAAATCTTTCCTTGAAGGATATATCAGGACTTCCAGGTACATATATTTGTAAAAATGCATTTTTATGTTTTATATTTTATTTTTTTATAATGACAGAATGCATAGAAAATAAAAGCTGATGAGGTTTTCTTCTGTTGTTGTTGTTGTTTTATTTTGCTATTGTGGCTACATAGGAAAAGAAATGATTGTAGAGAGCAGAGATGTTACTGCTCCAGGATGTAGTCTGAAACATTCATCGATTCACTCAACAAGTACTTACTGAGGACCATCTATGTGCTAGAAACAGAATATTAAATGAGGTAGACAAAATCCTATAGTCATAGACCATAAGCTATAGTCTCTTAAAGATAATATATGATAATATATGTAAATAAAAGAATTTCATTGCTAAGAAGAATTAAGGAGTTTCATGAGCCCCACATAGATTCCTGATCCAAACTAACTCAACATATTGACTGCTCATTGCAATTATTTATAATGCCCATTAATGAATGTGACTTATGTATTTGAAAATCATGATTATATCTGTTGTTCACAGGGGAATTTTACATAACACGACATTCTAATCTCTCAGAAATCCATGTTGCTTTCCATCTTTGTGTGGATGACAATGTGAAATCAGGAAATATCACTGCTCGTGATCCTGCCATTATGGGACTTAGAAATATACTCAAGGTTTGCTGCACCCATGACATCACAACAATAAGCATTCCTCTGTTGCTGGTTCACGATATGTCAGAGGTAAGCAGATAGAAAAATCTTTTCAATGAATATGATACATATTCATATTATTTAATAATCTACATTTTAAAAGCCCCCTCCCTTTTTTTTTTAACTAATAGACCTTTACATTTTCTATCAGGTTAATAGAATTGACTGACATATAAAACAGTGAATAGTACTTCACCATTTATGTTCAGAAAATTATAACATTTTCCTATTCTCCTTTTCTTCCCCTACTTCATTTCCTCTTTCTCCTCCATTTTTGTCTTAATTAGCAGTAGATTTACCTCCATATTAATGTTTGGCTTATGCCAGAATTACAATGAGTTTGTACTCTCTGAGAAGACATTAAAAAGTAATGGAAAGAGATGCTAGATAACAGGAAGAAGTCAGCCTCAGTTTAACATTCCCTCCAGGATGAACTTGTGGTCCCCTTGCCTCAGTCTCTCAAGCTCAGATTATAGGTGTGCACCACTGCACTGGGAGACATTTTTAATTTTAAAAATCTTTCTGTTTTAAAAATTCTCATTCTGTTTCTCTTCTGCCTTCTTCCTTTACCCACATTAAAAAAAATAGTTAGAAGGCTAAGTTAAAAATAATGCGAAGACCAAAATTTAACTTTAGATTGTCTGGAGGAAGAAAGGAACCTCAAGCCCAAAGGATGCTATGAGTCCTAGGAAAGCCAGCTGTCAACCTGGTGATAAAGGCTCATATCAGCAACTCTGTGCTTGCTTATTTTAAGAAGAGATTTTTTAAAAGCAAAATTGATGACTACTAAGTGCAGACTGTGAATTTCAAGAAGGAAATTTGATCTTGATTGTTGAATGTTACTAGTAAGTAAATAATGTGGAAATGCTATATTTTAGAAGATAGTATAAAAAATGTAATTTTTTACATTTTAGTTTAAGATCCCACTTAGACTCATTATATTACATTCATGAATTTACTTCATTTTAAATTCTATATTAACTGCTGTAATTTAATATAATTTAAAGATAACTAGTTCCATCTAGGACAGGATGTTTTGAATTATTTCCCATTTATAGTCTAGTCTGGTAAATCTTCACAATATACTTTTGTGTGTGTGTGTGTGTGTGAAAAGGATGCTGGCACCATCCTGTGGAGGCTGCAGTAGACTTCCTCACTTCTCATTCCACTTCCGTAGCCTCACTCATACCTAATATGGCATCAGGAGAGATGGACAAACATGTTTTTCTGTTTTCCCTGTAGCTTTATAAAGTTTTACTTCCATCATGATTTTTTAGCTATTGTTAAATTGTCATCACTAACAAGCCCATCTATAAAAGGGTCTTTGGGGAATAACAAACTTTATGATGAATTTCTGCCACAAGGAAACATCCAAATATTCCTGCAGCTGGACTCCTGGTTAACCAGTTTATAAAAATGGTTGTATGTAGGTGGGAAACAACCTCAAAAACAGTGTTTCCAAAAGTCACTAAGTTCAGATTTACTTCCAGACATTTGATACTGCTAGCATGCCCTCTCCCACAATGTCACAAAAGTTACATGTTTTAAATTGGGACAGCCAGCTGCAGAACATTAAGTTTGTTTCCAAAGTGTCCAATTTAATTCACAAAAGTATATTGAGCCATGATCTTCTCGTTTGTTGTATTTAAATATCCATTCAAGGTCAAGAAGTTTATCCTATAAACTCAGACAACACTTCACAAGATATAGGAGTAATATGTACTTTAGCTTTTGTACAAGGATCCCAAAGCATTTTCAGGTGCTATTTCCCAAAATTAGCCGTTAGACACCCAGTTACTATATATTAGTGTGTGCAAGGTAATGATAAGGTCTGAAATAGTTCATGTCCTATGATATTTAAAGTGGCAATAAAAATTACTTGAAGTTTAAAAAGAAGAAGAACAAACCAGTTTCATCTCTATAAGTATTTGTAATCAGAAAATACTGTCGTATTAATATCAATGTAGGGCTGGGGATGTGGCTCAAGTGGTAGCGCGCTCGCCTGGAATGCGTGCGGCCCAGGTTCGATCCTCAGCACCACATACCAACAAAGATGTGTCCGCCGAGAACTAAAAAATAAATATTAAAAATTCTCTCTCCTCTCTCGCTCTCTCTTTAAAAAAAAAAAAGATCAATGTAACCTAATAGATGTGGAATGAGTCTACAAGTCAGAAATCCTGAGTTCCTGACTTTTTTGGGTATACTAATAAATTGTGAAATAATTTGGGGTTTAAGGATTTTAGTTTTGTTAATTTTTTGTCAATGAAGATTTTGTTTGTTTTTATTGGAATACTTTTAATACATAGGTGCTCACCTCAAATTTTCACAAACTGAGCAAGCATATACCCAGAACATTACCAGAACCCAGAAACCACCCTCATGTTCCCTTACAGCTACTTAAAACACTCCCTCTACAGGACAACCATTATTTTCACCTCAAAAATTATGGATGAGTTAGTTGTTTTGTGGTTTATCTTATATCTGACTTCTTTCATTCAATATTATGTTTATGAGATATCCAGATTATTATGTATGATTATGGATTGTTCTTTTTTATGTAATATATTATTCCACTGTGTGACTAGACCAAAATTATTAGCCCTTCTAATATTTATGAACATTTGGGCAATTTCTAGATTTTGGTTGTTGTGACTGATACTGTTATAAACATTCTATCTAGTACATATGTTTTGACACTTCTCTTGGGAATGGCATTTAGGTGGAATTATGGAATTATTAACTCTCAGGCTATCTATGTGTTTTTCTTTGATAGAAATAGCAAAATTGTTTTCTAAAGTGGTGTACCTACACTGGTGTTTTTTTTTTTAATGTGGAAAATAAAAAATAAAGCCAGACTTTCACCTTTTGATAATGGCTATGAAGCTGATTAATACAAGTGTTTCAGGTACCTCATAAGCATATACCTGAGAAGGAAAGAAAAATCTTAGAATCTTTCCCATTAGAATAAACTCAGAAAATAATTCTTATATCTGACTTCCAAGATGTACAATGAAGACCTTAAAATACATACTAACTCCACAGTTCAGCCTTACCCTAAACCAAGGATTCAAGTTGAGAATCAACATATGTCCATTAACCTCAGATAGATAGAAGGCATTGTCTCAGTTAGAATTGACATTTTAATTTGTTTCACARATTTAAAATTTATTCTATGTGCAATTTCCATGTACCATCTAAAGTATAACTGTTGGGACCAAATTTCTGCCCTAGTTCCAAACTCTAAAGTGTTTCACATTATCCACCCAGCTTCTTCAGTAGATTTCTTTCACAATGCATTCTCTCAGACGTGTCACTAAGATTTAGTCCCTTTGCCATTACCTAGAGTGCATGAACAAAAACTTCATATGCCATTAGCTGATCCATCAGGTTCTATATCATACCTACTATGCAATATATACTAAGCTTTGTTTCAAAAAGTGAGCTCCTTATAAAACTGCTGGCCACATCCTATGACATCCAATAATTCATGCCCTGTCTTGACCTTATTGTCTTCTAAAGCTTACCATTTAGCCTCTGCCATGTATCCAAAGCCATTGTTTTTAGGTGCTGATTTTAATCAGACAAAAAGGATTAAAAAAAACAGTCAAACATCTACCTTAAGCTTGGAGTAGAGTCTCTGTAGGCATATGAAAGATTTGAAAACAACTCAAGTGAATGTATGTGTTTTCACATGCATGTACATGCTGCCGTCTAGCATTTTCTTCAGATTCCTAACACTGCTAATCAGCATTAAATTAAAGTAAAGCACATATGAAGGCATATGTCATCTGAAAATTAAATTGATTTTATAATATATCTGTCACTTCAAAGCTACTCTAGTGTCCTGCCATTATTGTATTTTGTCATGTTCTCCAAATAGTGCTTATAAAACTTTGTAGTTAATTCATATCATTTCAAGAGTGTGAAGTTCTTTATTTATCTCGTAGATATTTTTTATAGACCATGCTATTAATCACATAAATATAGAAAACAAGAAAGCATGTTATTAATGGATAAAATTGTATGATCTTTGGACAAACGAGGACTTGGTTATTTTCTTCTCAATCTACCATCCCTTTTCTAATTTGTGCTGCAATCTTTCATCACTGTATTGTCCTGAGTTTCTGCATTTGGATAATATCAATTTTATATGTTGTTTTTCAAAGCTCTGTGTTTAAAATTCACATTAACTGTCTTCATATGAGTAGTGGTACTTTGACTTAGCCTTAATCAAGTAATTTAAGAATTTTTTTTTAATTGTAGATAGACATGATACCTTTATTTTTATGTGGTGCTAAGTATCAAACCCAGTGCCTTCCACAATTGAGGCGAGCGCTCTAACACTGGGTTACAATCCCAGTCCTAATCAAGTAATTATTTAAATAATTCAAAGGTGTCAATAAGCTAATAGTAAATTATAAGACAAGTTACTGTCAGTAATGCTTTATATGTGTGTGTGTGTGTATATATATATATATATATGTATATGTTTAATATATATATATAATGAATATGTCATTAAAACTAAATGAATAATAGTAATTCCTTGATTCTGATTATTACTATGGTATTTCAAAACATTATATTTTAGAGTAATGTTTTAAAGTAATGCTAATACTTGGTTATATTTTAGTATTTATTTCTAAGTATAATTCTTGAATAAAATGTTTAACATAAGTAGACTCTTAAGGAAAATAAGACACTATGAGTGAGAGTCAGCAGAAACAACCACACATAAAAACTGATACATAAAGTCTTGAGGCATAGGAATTATGAGACTTGGATCATGAAATAGTTGATCATTGTGTCTAAAGAATATGTTACTACTTTTCTCACTAAATATTTTTTGTTTTGGAAAATATAGTGGTTTTCCATTAAAAATGTTATTTATGCTAACATTAAATGGATTTATCATTGTTATTTTTAAACTAAATAAATATTTTTATATTTATCAGTTTTAATTTCTAAAGCAATGAATAATCCACATAAACAAAGGCATATTGGAGTTAGTATTTTTCAGAGTGTTAAAGATCCTGAAACCCAAAAAGTTTTAGAATCACCATAATTAATAATAAACTTGTTTTGTAGTTATGAAGACTTGCAACATGAGAAAATAATTCTGGTAAAAAGAAATAGAATTTAAAATGGCATGCTCACTGAGTACATGGTGAAAAATTGTAAAATGTATTGGTTGTAGACCCTGGGATTCAGATGTGCATTTGGACAGCAATTTGAAAGCAAAATAGAAAATGAATGGATTTGATTCATTAGGTAACTAGGATACACTCTTTGTTTATTCCATTATTTTTGCAATAATATAATGTTATATAATTAAAATGGTTTAATTTTATTGCTTATGTAAATATACAATTTAATAATAATTATTCATTCGATCAATAATAATTATTCATGCAGACATTGACAGTAGTTGTGGAATTACTGCATTATAGTTATCTTTAAAATTATCATGAATATGTTAAGGATCTACGCATTTTATAAATCATGTTTGCTAGGCTTGTTAAATTAATTTGCCTTTCTCAAGTATTGTCTAACGACTAGAAGCTCTGTTCCTAAAAAACAAAAGAAATCCAGTTGGGATTAGCAAATAATTGTCTGAATTTATTCACAACATGGACATTCAACATTATAAACAAATAAGGATCTGACTGTATTTTTAATTTTACAAACTTCTGTTAAAAGCAAATGATTTGTTTTGTTTCTGTTTTTAGGAAATGACTATACCCTGGTGCTTAAGGAGAGCAGAACTTGTGTTTAAGTGTGTCAAAGGTGAGCAGAACCTCACATTTAACAACCAACCATATGTCCTCACAAATGTTGAAAGCAGAGCAACCCAGAAGAAAGGATATGAAAGTTACCTCTGTTGTTTGATGACTTTGTTTTGTAGTTAATCAAATATTTCTTAAGAGACTTGTAATTTATCTTTTTTTAGTCACAAAAAAAAATCTCCAGTCCTCCTGGAATACAAGAACATTTGGATGTTATTTACATTTTGCTTCGATTCTAACTTGTTCTCTACTGCCTTAAAAAAAAAGAGCCATATGTTTAACCTTTAATAGTCTGTTTTAGCTTCCTTGTATGGAGGCCAACTAGGACTGGAGAAAAAATAAGTCCAAGTGTGTTAACAAAACTGTGTTAAACCTCTCTGGCACGGAGAATTAGGGATAGCAGAAGTTTATCTTTTAGGCTTAGCATTTCCCATAGGCAAGTGTCTACCTACAAAGTCAAGACAGGAACCACACAGTGAAATTCAGATTATCTCAGTAAGTCACTGGGAGACTGGAAGGCCAAAACTCATAACACAGCAAAGTCTATTGTTTTATTTTAGGTTTTATGATGGAAATGGCTTCATGGGATGGAGGAATTTCTAGGACTGTACAATTTCTGGTGCCACAGGTATGTTATCTGAATAGATCTCACTCCAGTTTAATCTCTTTTATAATATTCCTCACACATATGATATGTGGCCTTAAACTCCTAAATATAATAAAATGCTAACAGTTTCCAATTTTTTAAGGGGAGAAGAGTTTGGATGCCATAAAGGCACTTATTGTCAAAGATGTCAACCTCTGGGCTGGGAATGTGGCTCAAGCGGTAACGCGCTCGCCTGGCATGCGCAGGGCGGTGGGTTCGATCCTCAGCACCACATACAAATAAAATAAAGATGTTGTGTCCACCAAAAACTAAAAAATAAATATTAAAAAAAAAAGATGTCAACCTCTACCACTCAAGAGATCTTTTATTTACCCCTAAAACCAAACTTGACTTATCTGTCCTCTGTTTTTTTTCCACATTTATGTTATACAGACTATGAAGGGTTTGTAAAAAAGGGCATGAACAGAGAATGAATGATTCTGAATAGAACTTACCAAAATTAGTGGCATTTTATTATGGATTATATTGGTGTTACATAGGGGGTTTCTGGTGGTCAGACTTATTATTTGATAGAAACAACACAGGTTCTCAGAGATCAGTCAGAAAACCAGCCCAGTCCATATAGTTAAATCAGTCAGGAAAGATAATTTTTCTGTTTTGCAGTCCATATCTAGAAAGAGATCATATTTTAAAATACTTCTAAATATTTTAAATTATCCATGCTTTAACAAGCACAAACTTTTTTTTTACCTTTTACAGAGTATTTCTGAAGAAATGTTTTATCAACTTAGTAACATGCTCCCCCAGATCTTCCGAGTCTCATCAACACTCACTCTGACATCCAAGCACTAAACCCTTATAGATGGACACACTGGCAGAAGCGGATTGTTAAACTCTCCAGGAACTTGAGCTATGCTGGAATCCTGTCAAGCAAAAGATGTCCAGAAAGAGAACCTGCAACCTAAGCCACAAGTGAAATCATGATATATGTCTGTGAAACATTCCAAAAATTTCTATACTGAACAAACTAGTGATCAGCCCCTAAATGAAACATTCATTCTTAAAGTCTTTTTATAAAAGAATATCTCCCTTTTTCTACTTTTATGTCCTAAAGTGAATGTTAGTAAGTTAATACTTCCTTTTTATCACACATTTGCTATAGGAATCTCTTGAGTACATTTTTGTGGTGACTTTTGACTTTCCCATAAGGCTTGAATTATTTACCAGGTATAAGCCATAATTACTTTATTTGCCAAATCAAAATTAAAAAGCACTGAAAAATGCATTACAAGTATGGGTTTCTTGTGAAAATCTTTCTATAGAAATACAAATACATGAGAAATATGTGCTTATTCTTTTAAGTTTCTTCCTTCAAAGCCTTGCTTTTAATCTACTCTTTCTAAGCTTGTATAAGTTAAGAGTCAAAAAAGGCTTTGAATTCTTTACTTCTGTCTCATCTTCCCTCTGTGACCTTGCCCTTGTCTATAAATAACATTTCATGGGCTGAGAAAATAGTGTTCTTTTTTGCCAGCCTGATGTAAAGTTAGTCCAAACCAACACCTGGTGTGATTTTAGTGCTCAGCAACATTGTGACAATGATGTGACAATCAGAGAATGAGGATCATTTTTATTTTTCTATTCTTCCTACATTCTCAGCTTTCTTACCTATTCCTCTATCCCTTATTTTCTTTGCAGATAACAGTGTCCCCATTTCTGTCTTACTGTTTCCCCTCCTCTTCCATTATCTTTCTCCCACACTGTGTGTCATTTATCTCATCTATAACATTTTTGCCATGACTACATTAAACAAAAGCATGCAGACATTTACAAAAGCAATAGTTTTCATCCCAAGTTGTGTGAATGTTGCAACTGACCAATCGAATGAAATGGAGGGTCTTTGATGTCCTCAGAAAGTGTTATATCTTGAATATAAGAAAAAGAAACATTATAACTAGGAGTGAATAGATGAATGTCAGAGACTTTAGTTCTTAAATTGAAATGGAGGTGGTTATAGTGGGATCAATAAAAGACATTGAAAAAATAGACCTTAATAATCTTTCCACAGAATTCTGTCATCTAAGGGTACAACCAACAGCATGAAGGTTACTTCCAGGTACAGGAGGAAAGATTCAATCATGGAAATTTGATAAATGTTGCTAACCAACTCTGTCACCTCTGGGATATTTTATTAAGTTACTTTTAAACTGGGGCTTTCAACTGAGGAAGGTTTCAAAGTACTATTTTATTAATAAAATCAAGATATTTTTCTAAGTCCATTTTTCAATTGGAACTGTATTATAAGATACATAAGCAGTAAGCTTGGGAAAATCATGCCTATGGTATTACATACTACTGATGGAAACACCAAGCTATTAGCAAATATATAATTTAAAATACCAGAGGCTGTGGTTGTGGCTCAGTGGTAGAGCACTTCCCTAGCATGTGTGAGGCACTGAGTTTGATCCTCAGCACCACAAAAAAATAAATAAATAAAGGTATTGTGTTCATCTACAATTAAAAAAGAACATTTAAAACAATAAAATAGGGCTGGTTCTATAGCTCAGTGGAAGAGCATTTGCCTAACAGTGTGAGGCACTGGACTCAATCTTTAGCACCACATATATATGAACAAATAAAGTGAAGGCATTCATTGTGTCCATCTACAACTACAAAAAAAATTAAGTATATGCATTTAAATTGTGGGGATTTAATTAGACTGTAATTAAGGCTAGAATTTTGTATTTAGGCCAAGAAGGGTAAGATTATGATCTTTTTCTAAGTGTTCTGAAGGGCTTCTTAAAGGGAAGTAGTTTCAGGCACTGTGTGAAGATGTGCTAGTCCTTTCTGTCACTATGACAGAATACCTGAAATAATCAACAATAGGAAAGATTTATTTTGGCTCATGGATATAGAGATCTAAGTCCATGGTTGTTGGCCTTGTTGCTTTGGGCTTGTGGCAGCAAAGGACATCATGGTAGGAATATGTGGTCAAACAGTCCTCTTCACCTCATAGTTGGAAGAAAGCAGACATGAATGGTCTGGAGTCCCAATATATCCTTCAAGGGTATGTCCCCAGTGACTTACTTCCTTCTACTAGGACCCACCTTCTGAGGATTCTACCACCTCCCTATTATAGCACCACAAGCCAGACATTTAGCACATGGTCTTTGAAAGACATTAACGATCGATAGATCTGAAGAAGGAACCTTAGCAGGCTGAGAATAGAAAAAGCTTTCAAGCATTCTAGGTATAGGTACAGATAAGAACCATGACCAATGGCCAGTATATTGAGAGAAGCTGGCCTCAAGCATCTTTGAGGGGTGGGGGGCAGGGCAGTCACAAGTATCTCAATGAGCATAGTTTTCCATTTGTATAAACAGTTGCTTGTTCCCAAGACAGATGACAATGTGGTCCTCAAGGCCTTAAAAGTATTCACTGGCCCCCATTCTGTACTGTTCTTTCCTTTCCTCCTCTGTGTCTTCTGTCAAAGCACCAGACCAAGTAAGACTATAACCTCACCATCCATCTGCAAGTATGGCACCAACATGTGTGACCAAAATTGGAGACGTGCATGAAAAAGAATTTCAACGAAAAGAAATTACTTGCCTGTGAACTGGCAGATCTCTTGACACAGCACATGCCATTATTTATGTCATATCAGTTGGAGCCTGGCAAATTCTCATAAGAAGAAAAAAATGTTTCACTAAGGAAAGATGAGTCACAGACACATTCCTATTTTAGAGACCCTAAAGAGAATCTACAGAGCTGTGTAGAAAGAATGGACAAAGCTTAGAGACTGTAGATATGTGTCAGTTTCTTGTTGAAAATAGTTGTTTTTTGTGACTTCATTTTCTCATTGAGATAAAATAGGACTGCCTTGCTCAACAGGACTAACAGCAGTGTAAAAATAATTATCCTAAATTTGAAATAATAAAACTTTTACAATCTGTACAAAAAGTACCATGTCTTCACAACCATTTAAACTAGTGGTGTTTTTGTCCTTTTTCCATCCAGAAATCTTTTATTAGCTTCCCCATATTTCTCTGAAGTGTTTTGAAAATTTAGCAAGCAATTTAAATTATTTGAGCAATCTGGCCTTTGTTAATTAAAGACAAGTCTATGGAGATAAGCTGATTGGCAAGTGATACATAGTGTTATCACATAGAATTATTGTATAATTCCATGCAGATTTGCAAAAATGGAAACAAAAGCTTGACAATTGATTCTGACCTGTGGGATTTCAACCAAGGGACATGTATTTTTTGAAAGATTGTTTAAAAACTCAATGACCTCTTAAAGCACCACTAATTCCAGGAACCCCAAGTTGGGAATCACAACTTTAGACAAAAGTATGTACATGAGACTATATTACAACCCAAAGGCAGAGATAAAGACAATATAAGTAACTGGTTCACCCTAAGGATAACATTCAACAACAGCAAATGTAACTAGAATCTTCCAAGTAGAAGAACACAATGCTTAAGTAAGAGTTGGCCTCTAGACGGTTATGCAAAAGCCATGGGACTTGTAAAGCAAGAAGACTTGTCAAGCAGCATCTGTGATGCTGACAATCTAATGATCAAGACAAAAACTCACCTAAAACTAGGGAATGAATAAATGAACTTTGAGATTCCCTGCAGGACCAACATGTGCTTGTGACATCCTATTCAACTATAAACAGTGAAGATTATTACAACACACTGCAGATCCCTTTTTCCTGTTTTCTCACAGGGAAATGGTTCCTGATACATCAAAATTAAGACTTGACTGAACTTCTTGCCACACAGTTAAGTCTCATTATATCACAGATTCCACATTTTCTAATTCACCTGCTTTCTACAATCTATTTTTAACTCCATTTAATAGAGGCATTTACAAAAGCAATATTTTCATCAAATCCAAGTCAGATATGTGTTGTAAATTATCAGTGGAATGAAATGCAGGGCCTTGGACAGTATTTTCAGGATCATTAGTGAATATTCATACAGTGGCAGAAAATTTGAGTTGCTCAATACACACTTTCCCAGTTCATATGGGGAAAAGTGACACTTATGCCATCTTGCTTCAGCTCTCATAATATTAAACAAATGTTCTTTCTATGGTCTGTTTAGTGCCACGTTTTTTGCATTTTTGTACTTTTTGTTGGTATTGTCTATGTAAAGTGCCCCGCCCCCCAGCATAGTGCTGAAGTGCTATCTTACTGTTCCTAAGTGCAACAAGGGTCTGATGTACATTATGTAGGAAATACATGTCATCTGGATATCAATATAATGCTGTCAGTCAAGAGTTTAATGTTAATGAATCAAAATATATATTAAACAAGGTGTCTCGAAACATGCATAAGGTTATGTGATCACTAGCTAATGAAAATACGGCCAGAGGCTTGCAGAAATATAACTCTCTGTATTGTCCCAGAAGTTTAGAATTCACTAATTCAGTGTTCAAAGCAACTTTTTAGAACATAACTACTATTAAAAATGAGAATCATCTGTATGTGTCTTCTCTCACAGGCAGGAGAGCGTAAGAACTGTCTGTGGATATCTTTGGCACATGGAGACTGGAACCTGGAACACATTACCCAAAAAAGCAAGTAGATCCTTTCTGGAGATGATTAGGAATGAAACAGAAACTGTGCTGTCTGTCACAGGTTAGGTGTGATGCTTACAGGAAGGAAATGTGGTAGTGGGTCTCTCCTTCCCTCCCTCTTTCTTCCCTGCTTTCTAGTTTTCTCTCCTTTTTTCTTTCTTTGTGTTGAATCCTGGCTTCCTATTGTCAGCTCATCTGTGCTCAAATGTCTCACCTCTAAGCAATAGTATAGCAGCAGCAGTCAAGAGCATAGTCCCTAGAGTTCAACAAGCCTGGTTTACATGCTGGCTCTCCAATTTATTCACTGTGACTTGTTACATCGGGCATATTACCTAACCCTCCTAAGCATGTTTTTTGATTCGTAAGCTAGGAAAAATTAATAATAGGATCTACCTCACTGGGTAGTTGGAAGGATTAAATAAGAAAGTACACACTACCTGGCATATAGTCATTCTATAAATATTTGCTGCTATTATCCTTCTT